TAATATAAGTTATTCAGTGTATTAAATTATAATATTACTTCATATTAGGCTCAAAATTTATCTAAATGCGCAAAGACAAACAAGAGAGATGATAGAATAAAATAAAAGTCTTTTTACTCAATTAAAAAATAAAACCATTTAAAGTGAATAAAAAGAAAAGAGAATATTTATTATTTTTATTTATTTCATGTTATTTTTTTCTTTGGTATTTATAAACTCTCGTTAACATTTTATACATTTTTCATAGCTATAACTATGGTATTGTGTATTAGTTCTAAATAATTAATATTTTAAACCAATAAAAAGTATATTTTGAAGTAAATATATTATAATATATATTAACCTATATGTATACATGTGAATGCACGTGTGTGTGTGTGTATATATATATATATATATATATATATATATATATATATATATATATATATATATAATGAATAATTAACAAATCTACTTAAATTTAAATTAATTTCTTCATAGAAGTTTTGTTCAATACTTAAATGAGAAGAAAAAAAATAAATTGGGAAAAAGAAAATGATATTGTATAGAGTTGGTGAATTTCATTATCTCCACCAGCTACTCCAAATAATTTATACTTATTTTTATAAAATAAAAGAAAATTTTATATAAGCATAAAATAAAAAGAACTTTTATATATGCATAAAATAAAAAGAAATTTTTATTTGCCTATTCTATGTAATACATAATACGAGCTACATATATGAGTTTGTAATAGAGTGTTGACACTTAAGATAATATGATAATTTTTAAAGATAAGATGAAAACTTCAGATACTCACTCATGAATTACAATATTTCTAATGAATTTGATCATAGTCACTTTTACTATCCCTATCACACCTTCCCATATTTTTCCATATTAAACAATCGTATACGATGTAACTTATATTAATCAATTTGTCACTAAATTAACCTATCTTTAAAAAATAAAATAAAGTTCTAATCCTACTAGAAAAAAAGTACCTATTATTTCAAAACATCTATAACGTATAAGTCGAATTATTAAATTAATAAAAAAGCTTGTAATTTATGAAAAAACAATAGAATTTATTACCTATACAACTATCTAATCAGAACGTGACAGTACTAGTGATCATTACTAAATTATTCATAAGCCATTATCAAGAAAATCAGCACACTATCGTGAATCTTCAAGATATGCTGCGACAACCTTTTACTGAAGTCATACGCAGAACAGCATAGTTTTTGCTTTAAGAGGGAATATTTCCACGACCACGAATTATATGATTACTAACGCTTTCGGATGAAGATCTTAAAAGAAGACAGTAGTAGCTGCCATTTTTGAAAGTCCTAAAAAGAAATATCAGTAATAATACATAACACGTAACAGTAACCGATAAGAGCACAACTTATAACGTGTGAGAAAAAGAATCCTAATAAACTATTATTATTATTATTATTATTATTTTTACAAAAATAATAATAAAAGATTTTTAATCAGTTCGTTGAGAGAAAGAAAAATAAATCTAAAGTCAGGTATTTTATATACCCGAAAAAAATTAGGTGTACCCCCAATTAGAAAAAGCATGAAAGTGGGTAGCGCAAACCTTCGAATCGTGTCCAAACGAGGAAGAGCAACCACTACATGCCAAAGTACCGAAAAAAAAAAACACATATAAGCTACGACTTAAAGCAACCGCAATCTTATGAGCAAAAGTCACACGCATCAGTGGTTTACTACACGCATCTCTCAAACGCTTCCACCTATAGCAATAATCGCGTTTTCATTGTTCAAGCTCACAAGCAAAGGAGAAAGTAGATTCTGAAGCAAAGGAACATAGAATTCCCACTCAGTTAGTGCTTAAAAATTAAATTTTTATCCTTTCTGCCTCACTCACTAAACAACCTACTGTTTCTTCTTTGAATTTGAATCCTCCGAGATCACTGGAACAACATGGGTACTCTCACTACTCTTCATCTTCTCCCTTCCAAGCTTAATAACCCTTCGCTTCCTCCACGCCACGGTATTTCTGTCTCGCCCTACGGAACACCGCACCGCAAGAAGAACAAAGCAATGGTTCCTGTACGACTTTTTTTTTTTAGGGTTTTTTATTTTTTGGTTTTTTTGATACTGTTGTTGTTGGTTTTGTCTGATGGGGTTGTTTGGAATTGGAACAGATGGCTAGGTTGTTTGGGCCTGCCATATTTGAAGCCTCGAAGCTGAAGGTTTTGTTCTTGGGGGTGGATGAAAATAAACACCCGGGAAATCTTCCTAGGACTTATACGCTAAACCATAGCGATATAACCGCTAAGCTCACCCTGGCAATCTCTCAAACCATAAATAACTCTCAGGTATTCTTTTGATCTCACAGTTCTGTTGTGTCTTACTATTCTTTTGAAATTGCTGTTACGTAAATATTAGTTGAGAAGAGGATGCAGAAGTTGTCTCGAAACAGAGGAAATCAGGGTTTTCTTGCTGTTAAGAGATCGTTTTTTGGGGAGGAAGGGTGGGAAATCATGATAGATGTTAACACGTGAATTATACTGTTGAACGAAGTAAAATATTGGATGGATGCTTGGTTCGATTCATCGAATTTATTCTCAGTTGTTTGAAAAAAAAATGATTTTTTCTTATAAAGGGGGAATAGGAATGGGTAGTTCAACACTCCAAAGTCCAATTCATCCTGATATGAAAGAGATATTTGAAAGGTGTTTTTGAATTACAGTTTGAATGTAGTAAATGGTACTAAAATTGTATCTGAATTTTTAGTGTAGGAAAGGTAGTTTAGAGTGTTAAAACGAAGGGGTGATGATGACTTTTGGAATGAATTGCAGTTGCAGGGATGGTACAACAGATTGCAAAGGGACGAAGTGGTGGCGCAGTGGAAGAAGGTGAAGGGAAGGATGTCCCTGCACGTTCACTGCCACATCAGTGGAGGTCATTTTCTGTTGGACATGTTAGCGAGGTTAAGATACTTCATCTTCTGCAAGGAGCTACCAGTGGTAAGCTAGTTTTGCAGGCATGAAATTGAAGGGTCAATGAACGAAAATTGAACGTAACATTATGCAATTGCGTGTGTTAATCAGGTGTTGAAGGCAGTGGTTCACGGCGATGGTGATCTTTTCAACAACTACCCGGAATTGCAAGAGGCCTTGGTTTGGGTATATTTTCACTCCAACATTCCAGAATTCAACAAGGTGGAATGCTGGGGCCCATTGAGGGATGCATACGGTGGGGCCCCGGAAGAGATGGCGGAGGAAGAAAGTGTTGGAAGCAAGGAGGGGTTAGCGATTCCTCAGCCATGCCAAGAAGAATGCGAGTGTTGCTTTCCCCCAATGACGTTGAACCCAATTCAGTGGTCTAAAGAAGTTCCCAATCGCCATTACGAACCTTGTGATGGGATTGAGCCACAACAAAATCTATAAACAAACAAAAGCTTCATGTCACAGTTACAGGGTTTCTGCCAAAATTAGCATCACGTTTCCCTGTATAGAAAATTAGGATAAATTGAACCATTCAAATATCCTTTCAATGTAAATAAGGACACTCGTGTTTGCAATTTTTTATTTTACTTTCTTTTTCTTCTGCAGAAAATTAATTTGGTTCGTGTATCACGTGTCTATGTGCTTGGTCTAAAAATTAAACCGGTTTTTTAGGGAGTGAAAGTCCATCTATAAATTTATGGAAGTATCATTTCCTTTATATATATACGCTAACAGTAATTTCAGTTTTCGCTGTCACGTTGTTTTCTGAGTTTGCGTGATAAGTTTTGGATTTCCAATGAAGAGAAGTTATTACATTTATGAGTTTGAAGAACGTATTGGAGATGATTTTTTCTTTTCATTATAGTGGAAGAAGCGAAGAGAGATAAACAATAGTCAAATATATCAGTGTCATTTCCACACTATGATTATGACAGGAGAAAAGAGAAGAAACGCAGATTAAGATGAAATAAAGATAGAGAAAAGTGATTGTTTTTCAACTTTTTCATAAAATTTTTAATTCTTCAATTTTAATGTAATTATTCTTTATAAATGTTTACAATTTAAATTTCTTGATAAATATCGGGTTCAAAAAAGTTTATTTCTCCATTAAACAATTTTTTTAATTAATCAATTTTTTTAATTAATCAATCTTAACTTACTTTAGCAGAGCCTTAGGGTCTGTACAATTTTGTTAGCTGTTTTTTTTAAAAAAAGTATTTTCTTACTAATTATTACCAATTAATTTCCAACACAAAAACATATTAAGTTTTGGAAACTACTTACAAAACCAAAAATTAGACACTGCATGGCATTTTTTCACCCTCTTCTATTTTCTACACGTACTTACGGAAAGAACTCAGAAAACAGAGATTGTGGGCTAATGGTAATTGCATAGCATGTGTGTATATATAAAATTTGCCAACAGATAAAATATCGACTTAGTGGTCAAAATTCTCTTGGTAATCAAGAAAACCTGTCCAGATATTTTGAATAAAAATACTTTTGACGCCAGATATTTTCTTCAGTTAACAAATATCATCGCTCGAAGAGGTCACTGAAATTTTGGCCTTAATTTGAGGGGATACCACCCTTGTACAAACAAACACCATCCGAGGGAAGTATACTTTTATATACAAAAGCTGTTCCATTACATGGAAAACATGATTCTATTCTTAATTTATCAATGTAATGCAAGGCGCATTACAGGAAAGAACACAAAAAATGGAGAAAACAAAACTTGGCTTCAACTCCCCTCAACAAACATGTACACATAAATCTAAAGGTAATTCATGGACAGGGATTTCCACCAGTGGCAGCCATATTTGTAAATTCATGGCTCCCTAAGGCTTTCATAATTAGTAGATGTCTTCTACATACAATTTTCCACCGTTACGGTATTCTTGCTGTTCTGAAATTTCATTCAGCCACTTGTGCTATATATATGCAAGTTGAAGTCACCTTATGATAGATCTTCCAAAAGAAGATGCTCCAATTTCACTCTCAGTATTCTGCACAATAATCAGAGCCATACGCCTATCTTGAGTATATAAACAATGAAAAGAATAAAAGGACCAAGTCCCTCCTACGTATATGCACATAACGTATTTGATGCCAATATTAAAATAAGCAAATGTTGCCCTAGCCATTTCAACCAGAGAGCAGAACAAATAAAAATCCTAATCTACATACAGAGGGGGCTGGGCCCTCCTCCCATGGATTTCTCACGTATATACATAGTATACATACACACACATATGTTAGTGTAAAACTGATTGCATATGTCGTCCTTATAATAATTGTTAAGGTTACCAAGTGTAAAATTGTGTAGGACTAGTAGTGTTTGCTGTTATTACCGCAACGTAAATTTGCATAAAACTCCGTGTCTGATTATTACAGTAACGTTTAAGGTTATTATTATCATTGAAAAAAAGAAAATAGTTTCAATCATGTGTAAAATAAGAAAATAAATTTTCAAAAACTATTACAGAGGATCAAGAAAAAAAATTCCAGTCCCCCCTCGATACATTTCTGGATCCAGCATTAAGCTGAATTCCTGCATCTGCATTTACGTTTAAGGAAATAGCAATACAGTTGGATATGAATGACAATCAAATGTTCAAACCATGGTCAAATTATGTAAGCAAGAGGAACTGAAAATGAAAATAACAAACTATTTCCTTTATATTTTAATAAATAGTTACCTGTGATTTCCGCGAAGGGAATACATTCCAAAATCTTAGGGTTTCATCTCCAGCTCCAGTGACAATAGTCTAATACAGTAAGTGGAAGTCATGTCACAAGGAAAAGAACATAAGATTCAGAAAACAGTAAAAGTTTGTAAAAAGCCGCTAATTACATAAAATCTTAGAAAGAATAATAGCCAAAAGAACAATTGAAACACCTGTCCATCAGGAGAAATGGAAAGATAAAGAACTCTGTAAGTATGGCCTGTAAGAGTTGCCAGCTGCATCAAAAGGACAAAATAAATGTAAAACATTAAAATTAATTTTAAAGAACCATGTCTATGTTATGACAACAGATTGTATCTATACCTTTGACATGGTGGGATATTTCCAAACCATTATCTGATTCTGGGAGTAGCCGTGCGTGCTCACCAATTCATTTACATTTTTAGACCAGACAAGATTACAAACCTGTTAACATGTAAGATATGTCATAGTCATTTTATTGGATATAAAAAGAGGGGATGGCGGTGTGGGGTAGAAACCCATAATCCTTGTATATGTGGAGAAAATTCCATGAATTCTGAAAGCAGTTCTTCAATATAATCTAACAATTACTGGCATGGATATGAATAGCCAACGGGATATATAAATTTTGTTTTCTCAGATATTATGAATAATGGTCCATGATTCCATGGAACACTAAACAGATGTTATTTTCTGTACATGGATTACTCTTATTCAATGATAAAACAAATAAGAATTTCATTGCACCACTTGGATTAGATGTTAGTCATATGACCCAACTGACATAGCTATGACTAATCGAATACCTATTCTCCTATTCTTCCCAGCTGAAAGTAGGAATGCGAATTTACAAGGAAATGTTCTTTGAAAAGTTCCACGAAGATCCAACAATAGAGAGCCATGTCAGTCTTGAATTTGGAAGTTTCAATGTTTTAATATTGAGTTTGTGGTCCCTCACCCCTTTTTTTATATCATTCCTCTATTTAGAATTATTTTTAAATTAAGTTTTTTCATATTTTCCATTTAGTAAGGTTTGATTATGCGTGATAGTTTGCTGTTATCATTTGATGCTTTATCAAACTTAACATATTACCCTTCAAAGGGGAATATGAATCTTGTAGCAAAATAAATTCAGTTTTTCATATACCTAACTAATAACAAGTCATTTATTAGATCAACAGAGTTAAAGCGAAGCAAATACCTGACTTCCAGTGTCGATGCAGTTTAACTGTGAGTTTGTGGCTGTACTCCAGAAACGAATGCTACGGTCTGCAGTACCTCCTCCAGATGCAAGAAGTCCATTTGTGTGAGGAGACCACGCAATAGCTTTAACAGCTGCTGTATGCTCACAGAACTTCAGGATGGGCTGGGTGGAGTTTTGATTCCAAACAAGTAGCTACAAACATAGTAAACAAATTATTAGTAACCTATGCCAAGTACAGATCAAAAGGGCAATAGTGCAGTGGCACAGTTCATGAGCATAACACAACTTGATATTGTGTACCTTGTTGTCATTTCCACCTGATGCTAACTCACGGTTATCATAAGACCACTTCAGTCCACAAACCTTTGAAGAACCAAAAAAAGGGGGAATTCAATCATTAAGTCATACACAGTAGGTAGCTAGTTTTATCAGATAAGGTCACTGCAAATAAAAACAAGACTAACCTCTGATTTATGCCCAGACAGTTTACTGACAAAATCCTCCTGTACACGTATGTCTCGTTGGTAAATGCTTTTATCCCGGCTACCAGAAGACAAAAGAGATGAACTCCAGGCCAAGGTCCCAACACGTAATCGATGACCCTCCATAGTTCTTATAGACTTGCCTTGAGATACATCCCAAATCTACATAAAGAAAGGTTAAGAGGAACTTAGCAAGTCCCAGGGATGCAATAAAAAAGTACTCGACATTACAAAAAAAGTAAAAGATGACTTTTGACACCATGTTTTACGGGTCAAAATATCAAAAATTCAGAATGTTTAAGGTGGAAATGATGCACTGGATACCTACCTCTAGGTCAACTGAGTATGGATACGGATCCAAAGCAAAGTTTAAACCAGGCGGGCAAATAAAGTTTATGTATGTTAAATGAAAGTAGAACACATCATGTGCCTATGTACTGCATTAACATATCTATCAAATGAATAGAAATCACAAAAACAAAGAGGCTAAGTTTATTGGACTCACTAACACGACAAACTTATATTTAACATCAAAAGTCAAGTTTAAGGTAGCAGGATATGCAATTACCAATCACTATAGCACAAATAGAATAGGGGAAAAGACTTGATAGTGCCATTTAATAAACTGTCGTTAGTCTGGTACCATACTAGACTCACTTACGTCAGCCTTGGCTTTAAGTGTAAGTGAACCACGCTTTCAAACCAATGGGGTCTGAACAGGAGCATGGATCTGATATCAAACAAGTGCAAGACATAGAGAGAACTTGCACTTGTAGTTCCATGCCCCGCATAGCAGCCTAGCTTTAGACGAGGGTTCTACTCTCAATTATTTAATTTTAATTGCATTCTATGTGTTCAACAATTGATTTGAGCAAATAATTTTATTAACGGAATAGCAACATCTAATATCAACACAATTACATAAAAGCCAGCTTGAAATATAATTTACATGACCTATATATAAAACAATCCCGTTGTCAATAAGTAGTTCTTCCTGTCTAGGGTTATGCTAAACTGAAGAACAAAAGATTTGGAATGAGTGTTTAGGATTGTCATGGTTCAAAGTAATGGTAAGTTCAAACCAGAGAGTTCAAGTGTCCAAGTGTTTAGACTACCTTCCTATTTAGAGTCATTAGGGTGGTAGATTCAGCAACTTATATCTCTACATATCTATGAAGATATAAAATACCAGAAAGCTCATTTAGGATATTTTACTTACAGATATAAGCATCTTACTTTTTTCTATAATAGCTCTGGGATTATAGGGATCTATTTTTAATTTATGTTCACCGAAAGTTTGATCAAAAAGCTTGATCCTCTATGTTTAGTTGTGGTTGGTTCTTGAAGTTTATGACACTATACAACCCCCTAGCCTTTACTCGGCATAAAGGTTGAATTCAGTACCTGGGCGTTTTCTGAAGTTATGACAGGACACAAATTTAGCCAATTTCAACGTAAAGACTCAGCCATCCGCTTTAGATGCTTCTTTGAAGGTTTTTCAACAACTTCAAGCTTTAATAGGTATGCCTTCTTCTTTCTCTAAAAATATCATTTTTCCACGCTGATTCCTTGGACTCGTACCTTTTTCCCTAGACTTTTCCTTAGTATTTTTGTCATTTCTAGATGTTTTTTTAGATTTTAAGGGTTTTTCTAAGCTCCCAAATACTCTTAGGTTTGTTATGGGTTTTTAATCATGACCTCATATGACGCCCCTATCCCTGGGCTAGGATCGAGCTTAAGAGAGAAACTTCTAGCAAGAAAATAAAAGCCTTTTGTCAACACCAAGCCATTAGTAAACGTAATGAGAATAATGTTTTAGTCCAGATTCGCAAATTGGACGAACTAGTTTGTTATGATGATACTAAAGAAAACTTTGTATTTTCTACAACACTATATTCACTAAACTCGATGCCAGACTACCTTTAAAAAGAGGTTCTTACCATAATGAATGTAACTCCTGCCCAACTTCATCTAAACAGTTGGACATGCTATATCAAATGCCACTGCAACTGCGATCCCTATACAGAGACCTTTGTCATATTATATGTTATGCTACTTCCCTTCCTATACGGAGAGACATTTCCTAACACGGGAAAAGTATGCCTTTGATTCTTTAGAATTATAGTACATGGCTAGTTATATATAAGTATACAAGTACTCTCGCGAAAAAATAGCAGAAAAAATTCCTCAACAGATAGAGTGCACTGAATCTGCTAAGAATACCTATAAAAGAATCCTGCTTAACCTAGGACACTTAAAAAAAACTGAAAATAGGTAATTGTGGTTACAATTGCATGGGATGTTTTCCATATGAACTCTTACCTGGACTTTTCCACTGTTTGATCCGACAGCCAAGTAGGTGCCAAGCGGAGCCCAGCCAACTGAACAAACGGAGTCGTCAACCCCCAAATCGCATAGCTTCGTTACCTGCGCATATGTCATTTTGAATATGCAGTTCCATCTTAAGCACACCAGCAAATAATATAAAACGCACAGACACAAGGAAATAGAAAACAATTCAAGTTATGAAACAGAACATCCTCGAGTAACATCATCGACATGATATCTAAATTTTATTTTATTTTATTTTGCTTCGCACAAGCACCCTGGTTTGAAAACAATCCTAATCAAAGCGAAGTCTCAAACTAAATACGAACATAATTCCCATAAAAAATTCAAGCTTTAGTTTGCTATAAAAGACTTCTAGTTAATCTTAACCCAAATTGGTGTGAATGCTCGATATTCATCAGATGGTTTTAGATACGAGTGAGCTTCGGACTAAGGACCAAGGATTAGTCTCACAACCAACACGAAAGACCAAAATTTGTGAGGATGTCTTGGTCCCAAAAGGAATCAAAGAAACAAAGATCCTAATAGTAAAAACAATTAGTCGTCATTTTAAAAAAAAAAATATACAAACCTTACTGCTGGAAGCATTCCACAAATAAACAGAGTTTTCCAGAGCCACAGCCAAGACATTGCTGGAGGACCAATCCACGAGATTCAGATAAAAATCATCTTGCAGAGCTGGCGCATCCAGAACCTAAAACACAACATTGCAATTATACCAAACATCCAAAAACAAAACCTCTTAAAACAGGAACACAAGAAAAAAAAAACCTTAAAAGACGAGGGAGGAATCTTTCGAGGGCGCTTAAGAGGCTTGTGATTGTAGTCATAGCCAGGGAGAAGGACATCTTGGGAAGTAAAAGGAGTGAGAGAAAGAGAGTGCATGGACTGTCGAGTCTCCGATTTGAAACGAAATATATTAGGGCTTTCGAATTTGTTGGGTGTAGAAGGTCCAAACAAGGCACTCCGCAGCGCACTGCCATAGGGGCTGCAGCTACAACCGTCTTCCGTGTACGGCGATAGGTTAAACAGAGCGAAATTGGAAGCGGATCTGCTGGGTATGAAGCGGTCGGAGTAGATTGTTTTGGAAGGTGATTTGAAGCGATTGGAATTTAGCATTCGTTTGACATGGTTGTGCTGGGAAGAGGACATTGGAGGAGGTGGAGTGAACGATTCGTCCATAATAATCAAACCTAACCAAACCCTTTTCTCTTTCCCCCTTATTCTTCTTCTTCTTCCTTCGATTTGATGAAATGAGAAGCCCCCAGAATTTTCCCGGGAAATAGACGCTTTTTTCGCGGGAAAAAAGTGAGAATGGCGCCTATTATCTATGGTATTATCTCTTTCTCATCTCGCCCGACCACACACAAAACTAGGTAATGTAAAATAATTTGTCACTTTTTACTTTCATTCCGTAAATTTTAATGTCGTATTCACGTCATGCAGTTGAAAAGGATTTATTTTAGAAAAATATAATTTGCATACATTTTAATTAAAAACCCGTTTTAAATTTTTATTAATTTTAACTCAAGACGAACAACTTTAAGATCTTTCGATTTGTCTATTATTTATTTGGATTTGTTTCTAGATTTTGATTAAGTGACACTGTATATTAATTTTAGGTTCATGTCATGTTCTTTTAAATTATATATTTTTAAAATATATGTAAATAAATTTACTAATTTTGAAATATTTAATTTTTTTAATCTAACTATATTTAAATTGAATTAGATGACTGGTTATATTTTAATTAAATCATGTTTATTTTAAAAATATATATTAAGTGTGTTGAATTTCATAATTATTTGTAAATATAAATTTAAAAATGGAAATATTGTATACAGTATTTAATATGTAGTTATTTCAATTTTAGAGTTCGTATTTGCTATCATTGTGTAGCACGTGTTCATAATTACTGTATATAAACATTAATTGCAAGCAAAACTTAAGGTTGAAAAAATTATACATTTAATATAATTTATATCTTAATCATTAAATTTAACATTGATATATATTTAATAGTGCAGTAATCATATTATTTCAATATAAGGTAATCATTTAATATTTTAAAATACTGAACTAGCAACATTAAATATGAAAATGATATCCATAATGCTTATCATTGAAATGAAACATATTATAATTAGCTGAATTAAATTTGATTAATGCAAACAAAAGTAGACGAAAAAATAACAACACAGAAAACTAAAAAATTAAGCACTAAGCAATAGTTTACCTTTTTCTTACCGATAAAAACCAGGTTTCATGCAAGATAAGATATTTAGACTTCCAGTTTTCCAATATGAACCGAACAAAACTTAGTTAGCTAAACATCAATTCCATTCAGAGGCCATTGGTAACTAAATTTCAGTATAAAATCAGACTCAAGTTTTTATTGCAAATTTCCAGCTAACTTCGAGGAAAATGATGAACTTCACTTTAAGTTTGTCAAACTATAACAAAAAGTGACAGTTTCTTTACATCTATCTGTATGTGCACCTGCTGCTCTAGCTAGTATGTAGAAAAAGCACTTGCAGCAGACACAAATTGGAATTGTTCAGCGGAAGTTAACAGTGGTGGAATATGTGAGTCCGACGTTCCAGTTTGAAGGAGCAACATTCCATGCAATTATAGTTTCTCTGGTGGTGTATGAAGTAATCCTGAAAGAAAGAGCTTGGCCAGCAAGAGTTGCAAATGCTTGATATGAAGCACCCCAGTTATGGCTCATGCTGATCCATCCACTTCTGCTTCCTCTCACCGACATGCTCGAAATATCTCCTCCACCTCCCACGTTCATCACATACACCAATAGCCAGTATCCGTTTCCTTGAAAAGAGAATCGAACCCCTCCCTTCCTTACACATGCCACTCTGCATATACATCAACAAATTAATCACGTTTCACAGTGATTATCACTCACACATTGATCAACTGTATAAGAAATTTATGAGATTTACCTGCGGTACATAACAGGGACGATGCCGGCTTTCCACTGCGCAATCTTCATGAAAGCGGGTTTGGCCATGTCAAAATGAACTCGTGGTGGGTTGCACCAGCCGCCGTTATCGGAGGGTTGCGCCCAGTTAGGAGGGCAAAGATTGGTGGCGGTCACCGTCGTAAAGGCAACGTTCTTATAACACGCACTTGATTGGTAACACTTTATTTGATAACAAGTTCCACACGCATAACCATTGTTGAACAACGTAGAACTTAGAGCCGCCGTGTCTGTCCCGTAGCCATTTTGAAATAAATTCCCGTACCCGCATGCTCCTCCTACAAGTCCATTGACAATCGGATAAGAAAAAAAAAATAGTAATTTCAAGAACACTAATCACGAATAGTATATGGTAGTGATGAGATACACACACATACCCATAGTGGCAGAAGCAGTCTCATCACCGTAAAAGGTGGCGTGGGCGAGAGCCCATTGACTGGGTCGAAATATCCCCGCAGCTGTTGCTTGCTCTCGCATGAACATCAGAATGAACATGAACTTCATTGTAAAAGCAAAAGCTTGAAGAGTTGAAGCCATGATGAAGTTTTGAATAGTTTAACTGTGGAGGAGAAGGAATACAATGCGATATGGTGATTGACTGGTGCATGTATCCTTTATATAGGAAGTACAGTTTCTAGGGCACGTCTTGGCTTAGTGATTCCCACGACTGCAGAGTCAACAGTATTGTTGTTTTGTTTTTTTGGCCCTCGCAGGTATATATGTACGTAATCGACAAGACAGGACAAATCCGGGATATGTTTTGAGTGAAAACGTGCAGACAAGTTTGATATTTTCGTGTCATTATAAAATTTTATTTTGATTAGCCATTACACTATTTCTTCTTACTTCTTAATTAGTCCATAATATTTTAAGTATTGACTTTTGTATTTAATAACAAAGTCCACGAAACCCCCGGAACCAGAATAATGTTATTTTCGCAATATTTTTTTAATAAAATTTTAACATCAACAATTACGAGTCATTTTGTGATTAATCCAAAATTACTCAACAATCAATAATAATAATAATAAACACCAATATAGACTAATTACAGAATGACACATAAATGATATTAAAATATTATAAAAAAATATTGTCAAAGTATCATTATTCAATAAGAAACATAGATAAAACCGAAGTTTGGTTTCATTGTATAACTTTAATTTAGAAGAAAAATGCTTCTTTTCTACAAGAAAAATATTTTATCCACGCCTATTTTTGCTTCTGAAAACGAAAAGAACCAAGCACATATAATTTATATAATTTTGCAGAAGATTATTTAAAGCCCTAGCTCACTTTCAATTTTTTAAATTTGTGTCATATGCCTGTTCTTTTAAATTTTTTCAGATTATTTAGACTAAATTGAGTGAATCCGATCCCACCGCTGTTCTTTTATTTACTTCATCAAGCTGCTACTTTTTTTTCTAAATATTTTAGAGTTTATCATCGATTGGATATATTAAAAAATGTAGACAGTTAAGGATTTAGAAATTTAATAGTTTCTCTTGTAAAGTGGATGGATTTTATATAAAACACGAAGTTATATATAAGGTAAGGAGAAGAAAAAAATTAAGATTTTTTGTTTTCAATTTTAAGTTAAATTTAATGTTTTAATTAGATTATTTGAGTCAACTAAATTTCTATATAATTTTACAGATTCTATTTTTTAAAAATAGAAGAAGAAAAACTTAATCAACTCAATTTTTTAAAAAATAAACTAGGCCAAATAATGTAGGAGTTATTATTTGTGTGTATTTTAAGTTATCATTAATTAGTAATAATTATTATTATTATCATTAATTATTAATTATATCGTTTACACTTAGTAATCACAATGACCAATACGTAATAATTTATTTAATAATGGCTATTAAAATTTATCTTAAATGACTTAGGGTATGTTTAACACTTCTAGATAAATTAATTAATTGATCAAATAAGTTTATTCATCAGCTAAAATTAACTCAGGCAGAAATTAAAATAATAATTTAAATTAGGGAGAAATTCTATATAAAAAACATCGTTTTATTCTAGTTTTCTTTCTTCAAATTCCATTGGAGAAATTTGTCAAAAAAAGTAGTTCTCAATAAAGCAAGACTTTGCAGAAAAACTAAAGCATGCCAACAAATAAAAATCCCACACCAGGGCGGTTTCATAACTTTTTAGATTGTTTTTTTGTTACAAAAGAAATCATGTAACTCATCTCTTCCAGTGGACGATCCTGCATTTGTTTACAAAGTTCATAAAATTACAACTTGTACTTGTATATATGGTGTGCCACAGTGAGAATAATGATTACTTTCATGGCCTATGACAGCGACCTTGAGTTGCTGGCTTGATAAATTAGTCTCTAGCTTCCACACGTAAGTAGTAGTTTCTGATCCTCACCATCTCAACTAATTGCAGAAAAGAATAGTATCAAGCTAAACCTTCAGGTATATATAACATTTAGATTAAGATGTCTTTGCAGAAAAGACCAAAGAAAAACAAAGAAAGTTTTCACTTCCAGAGTCTTAACCGGTGGTCACAAAGCGAACTTGAAGCTTTTCTTATGCCAGAAATTTAATGCTACTTAGCAGTGATAATGTACCTCAATTTAGGCACTGCTTCCTTCCGGCAATGTAATCAATCTTGTTCTTGAATCATACACCATTTTAGTCTCACAGCTGAGGCAAAATATAAACATTGGTTTTTAAACTAATGATCCATCACAAATCATAAATCACTGTATTAGTCTAATCATAGGATAATGAACAATATGGAAAGACAGGGTGAGGACAGTGCCGCCGGGAAACCACTTTTATACTTACTTTTCACATTTGACATTGTTGGTGGAATCGCCACTTGAAACTGACAGTATTGTCCCAAAGAAAGAGGTATTTTCAGTGCCACAGTTAGGACAGGGGCCCTTTACAGATAAAACTATGTTAGTACTTGTGTTGTGCAGAATAAAGAGACGGTGCAACAAAAATTGTACCTTTAAAATCAAAAAGTCTTTTACAATTGCCTTTGTAATTGATTGAGCCAGCCACAAAATAAAGGGAATGGCGGCAAACCAAGTTAGAATAAAACTATATGGCTCCGGAATCTGCACTTAACAATTCACGACATTAGCTAAAACATTGAAGGTGTAATACCACTATTTTCAAATAAATGATTTCTAGTCTAGGAATAAATCAATGTCATTGTCCCAGCTATCGATTCTGCTCACCCTCAGATATAAATCTTGTTTGTTAAATAGCAGAAACTCTTTTGGGTTTACTACTAGAATATATCTACATAGCTCGTTATAATGTGCTTCTGATTTTGTTATCAAATCCACTTGCATTTTCCTCTCTAAATTTAACCCTGCACT